GAGAGACGAAGTGGCAGCGCTGATCACAAAGATAGCTAACAAAATTATTCCATGGAACCAAATACGAGCATTGATGTCAGGTCGTCTGATCGCTTTGGACAAGTGCCCCGGAGTTAGACCCATTGGCATAGGTGAGTGTTTGGGAAGAGTAATGTGTAGTTATGGCCGAAGCGACCAAAAAGATCTCGAAGAAACCTGTGGATCTCACCAACTAGCTTGTGGTGTGAAAGCAGGAATAGAAGGAGCTGTACACGCAGTGGAGGAGTTGTTTAATAGCACCGAAGAGGACGGACATGGTCTTCTAATGATGGATGTCTCAACTGCATTCAATGCATTGAACAGGGAAACGGCTCTATGGAATGCTAGAATACTTTGGCCAAGGTGCTCACGTTTTCTTTTCAACACATATAAAGGGTATGCGCCGCTTATTGTTGCAGGAACGACAGAACTTCTTTTCAGTAGTGAAGGCACTACACAGGGTGATCCACTAGCGATGTTATTCTATGGGGTTTCATTGATGCCATTGATTGAATCACTCAAAGACCGAGATAAGTATTTACAAACATGGTATGCAGATGATTCGGGAGCTCTCGGCGCACTAGAAAACCTGGTTGAATGGTTGTCATCTTTGACTGAAAACCGCCCGAAGTATGGCTATTACCCCGAGCCAAGCAAAAGTTATTTGGTTGTTCACCCGAACTTTGTTGAAAAAGTTCATCAATTGTTTGACAGGTTCGGCATCAGAATAGTTGAAGGTAGAAGATATTTGGGCAAATTTATTGGCTCTGATGAAAGCAAAATTCGTTTCACTTTGAAAAAGGTCCAAGAATGGTTGGATTGTCTTGGCGAGTTGTCCAAAGTGGCAGAAAAAGAATCTCAAGCTGCTTTAGTTGGATTAACAAGATCACTGCAATGCGAATGGAATGTTGTCCAGAGACTAGTCAAAGATACGTCGCAGTTGTTTGCTTCTCTCGAGAAGATGTTGGAGGAAAACTTTTTGCCAAGCTTACTAGGAACTTCTAGTGTCACACACTCAGATCGTGTTTTGTATTCACTTCCTGTCAAAAGAGGGGGACTAGGTGTTCGAAATCCAATAGAAGGTGCCGAACTAGCATTTTCCACTTCACGCGAAGCAACCGGCTGTCTCGTGAACTCGATCCTTCTCCAAGATGATTTCGACCAACCTCTACACAAAACAAAGATGAGAGAAGCAAGAAAAAACCACGAGGAGAAACAAAATGCTGTGGACGAAGATAAACTCGATGAGTTGCTTGCAGTTTTACCAGCAGATCAGAAACAAGCGATCCGGAGAATAATCGACAACAACTGTGCCTTGTGGCTAACTTCGCTGCCCTTGTTGAAAGATAATTTTGATTTGTCAGCCACAGAGTTCAGAGACGCTCTATGTGTCAGGTACAGAAAACCACTCAAACGTTCTTTCTCGAGATGCGATGGATGTCAACAAGATTTTGACTTACAGCATGCACTTTCTTGCAAAAATGGCGGACTGGTAACACTACGACACAACGAAATAAGAGACGCAGTGGGCGATCTTGCTTCAATTTTGTGGAAAAATGTGAAAAGAGAACCTGTCGTAAAAGAACCAGATGTAGAAAATGGAACCCCGGCACTAATTGCAGATCTTTCAGCTCGTGGGGTTTGGGATAGACAGTCGGCTTTGTCTTTCGACATCTTACCACGCTCCGTCTTACCAAAACCGCAATCCCATGAATGTACTGAAACTGCAGAGATTGAGAAGAAAAATAAGTATGGACCAGCTTGTGACGAAAAGCACATGTCTTTCACTCCACTTGTCACTCCAATCGATGGTGTTTTGGCACCGGAGTTCACGTTTTTCCTCAAACGACTAGCAGATGGTCTGGCATCAAAATGGGACCGCCCATATAGTCATGTCATGTGCTGGGTGAGATGTAGAATTTCATTCGCTATACTAAGAGCAACCAACATTTGCATCAAAGGCACAAGATCCAAATGGCGATCCCTCGGCGTTGAGGACGGTTACACAATTGGAATGGCATTCTAAAAATTCACACGCTGTTAACTGGGGCTTTCATCGCGCATAACTGACTCCTATGATATTAGAATTTCGACACCATTTTCATATTATTTCGAAGAATATGAGATGTTTGAAGATAAAAACACAGGATGACAACTGTGAACAAGCAACGAAAAATTTTTCCTTGCAGCATTCGAAACCAATTTATTTTGATTTTAAGTTAAATTTACACCAAAAAACAACGAAATCCAACGTTCATCCCAATGCGCGGTATAAACAACAAGAATTTCTTGCTTATGATTGGTATTCAAAAATTTGGAAACAAAGTCGACTTTAAGCAAAAACGTTGTTGTTTTTCTAATTGAAATTAGACTGAACACTTCTGTTCTTAAGCAAACACTAACAAATCAATAATTTGATGATCAAGTAGAAAACAAGACTGCTCGTATATCAGGGCAAAGCCCTGAATGTTCCTACTGTCCCTTAATTCATATCGAATAAATTTTGTAAACCTGTAAATTTTGGACAAAATCAAAGTGTAAAATTTTGAGTACGAAATTCTTATGACCAATTTTCTAGCCTCAATTCAATTTGGAACGATTTTGAGTTTCGATCTCAATAATATGAACAAACTCTTCAAAGCGCGCATAATTTAGTCCAGAACATGGCCAATTTGGCAATTTTCAAACCCACGGAGGTTTATATAAGAACAAACCCCTTCAATGGGGTATAATTTTTTTGTCGAAACTATTATTTCGATCGGCGAGAATTGGCAAGATAGAAAAACCACATCGAGCAAAAATATTCCGTTTTCTTCGAAAGTCGGAACAATAAATAATTTTCCGTAATGGTGATTGTGTCTGAATAGCAAAAATTCAAACCAGGTTTTGTCAATAACTCTAACAGTTTTTGAAATATTCTGTTTTGGTTATCTTGTCACGAACCAAAACTAATTTGTTTCGATACTTCACTCGATGCTCAAATGCGTAAGGAGGTTAACCATTTAAATCAGCTTCAAATCGATTCATTTTGTTTAGTGGGGGCGTTCAACAGTACCGAAGTACACCAGTGGCGAAAAAGGCGGGATAAGTTCAGAATAATATAAACGCATTTTCTAAAGAGCGGGAAGACGCTAATTATCAAAAAAAAATCGCTCCAATTTTGGCACCAAAATGTCTGCAACTGCAAATTTAACAATTATTTTGGCGCCTTGTAAATTTTCTTGCTCATAATCTTTAAGTGTCACTTAAGGTTGTAAACGTTTATCGCTTATATTTTTATTGCCCCACTAATATGCTGAAACTTGTTCATATTTTCGGCACTGTTGAACAAATTTTTTTGGCACTGTTTTTCTGCCCCTGTTTAGTTGAAAGTAAAACACAAATGATTTGGGATTTAAAATTGCTTGTTCAGCATTAAGTATTAAGAGCTAATGCGGCATTCAACAGGGCCGGGAAATTTATTTTTCGACGATTGAGCTCACTCGTCTTCTTTTGGGGAAAAGTTGGCGCTGTACAAAAACCCGCCACTGAATGCAAATTAGCGCAAGCTTATGATTTAATAAATTTAGACGCAGTTTTTCATCACAAATTTTTCATACTTCGGCTGGAAAAAATGAAGCTGAAAAGGCGAAATTTTTCCTTATTATGTGAAAAAAAAAACAATTAAACCTCGAAGCAAACTTCAGAAAAAACCAAAAAAAATCAAAAAAAAATTAAAAAACTGAATTTATCAAGCAAGAAAATTAGAACGTGCTATAAAAGAGCAAGACATCAATTATCAACAGCACCAAATTGTAAAACATAGAGAGAAATTTCAAGTGAGAAAGCTTCACAGTTGTTTGCTGGAAAAATCTTGCACCCTGTCAAAAAAAAAACATTTGCATTCGAAGGAGTAAAAAATCTCGGTATTGAGAAAAATCATTTGAATGCTTTCTTCTCAGTATTACACAAAAAAAACTTATTTTCTCATATAAAGTAATAAGCTATTATGGTATTCTGGGTATTCAGTTGGTTCAATATGTTTGTAAGTTTTGTTTCGAGTCCTCAATTCCCTACAATTCCATTAATAGCGGATAAACAATACAGAGAAAATCAAATTATAAAACTAATTCTTTTTTGTTTTATTATAAATTAGCCAGCATAAGCTGCGGTGTAAGAATTTTTCTCATGAAATATGTTCTTGTTAACCCTTTTAATTTCAAAATCTTTTAGAGTCTTGATGATTTTGCGAGAGTTTTGCAATCAAGGCGAGAAAGTTTATGTCGAACCTTGTTGAGCCGAAAGAAAACAGTTTTCACAAAAAACTTGAGATTTATAGTTTTACTACAGTCCTCAGTTTTCATCAGTTCTGAAATATACGAAAGCATAAAAAACTGTTTACCCTCAAAACTGCGCATTATGAGTTCTCTAACCGATATAATACAGGCGAGAAAATGTTTGATAAAAAAATGAAAAAATAAATATATAAACTTATTCAAAATCAGATTCGGTAACTTTACAAAATACAACTTTTAATTATAGTTCAAATTGTTTAAACCCATATAACACATGAAAAATTTAAAGCAATCGGAAATTAAGCCGATAAAAAACCGTATCATATGATACTAATAGCATTAAATTACGGCCGGCAAATGAACCGTCGTAAACTAAAACGAAAATCTCATCCTGAAACGAACTCCAACTTGTCACTACCTCCTCACCGATAATAGATTGATCATTTCATTTAAGCTTTCAGCAAATTCAGCACGGTAACCATTTCTACTAAAAAAGAATATTCTATGAACGATTTGAGTTACTAGAAAATGTTTTAGTAATCAATTCTGCTCGGCGTGTTGAAGCTTTTACAAATTAAAAATAAAAAACTGTATTTTAGTCTGGTTAACAATGATGCATGGACCATTTTAAAACGTTGCACAGGAAAAACAAATAAGGAAACTATAACATAGAATTGAAACATTGCCAAAGGCGGCCGTTTCAGTCCATTTTTCAGTTGCTGAGGAAACCAATTTGCGCGACAGCAGTGTAAGAAAGCGGAAATTCATTTTAAACACGTCTATACATAAGATTATCTGCTTTTTGAATACATAGAGACTTACTTTTCCGCATAAAAATACCATTGCAGATAATTGTCCCTTGTATTATTTCTTGACAGAAGGTTTATTTCAGTAGAAGTTTGTTATCATATAAATTTACGAAGTCAAAACATGGCTGCCGCACCGGAGGAGAAGAAAATGAACGAGG